AACCACTAACGAACGATCGACAAGTTTTTTGACGCCTCGGTTAGATATGAGGAAGATATAGATGAGAGTCATCGGTGCCATCGAAATCCCATAAAACCAACGGTAGGTGGGCTAACTCATGAAATGTCAACCGAAATTCCGAAATGCATTTTGGTTTCAAGAAGATTAATTAGGTAGGGTTGTAAAACTTGCCCGAATACTACCTTCCCTTAGAGTATAAAATTGGATGAGGACGATATTTTCTACCGAATGAGGAAAATAATGAATATTTTTATGCATGTTTTCCATGAACTATGATTGGACTTATGGGGCATCAAAAATCAATGAGAAAAATTCATGCTAATTAAGTAGTCATTTTTACAGAGTTTAGTTTTTGCATGCAGACGAAAGGAAGTTCATTCGAAAGCCAGCATCCTGAGGTCACTGAATTATTATAGAATTATGTTGCAGGCTGACTAGTTTTACAACGCTACTTAATTAATCTTTTCGAAATGAAAACGCATTTCGGAATTTCGGCTGACATTTCATGAGTTAGCCCATCTACTGTACCTTGCTGGGAGTCGCCACACATAATCATTACTCATATCAGTAGTAGTGGCGGCGTCTATACGCAGGCAGCCAGTAATTTTGCAAAACGAGTGAAACCATTACGCCTTTGAAGGCCCCATCGTAAGTTTAGCGCATAAATTGCTTTTCAAGCAGGTAATCGATAATCCCGCGCTACACCCACGCGACAAAACTCGAACAAAATGGAGCGAAATCCAACGCGGCCCCCAGTGGCCTGAAAATCGAGATCAGCAACAATTAGGTGAACTTTGACGGACTACTCACCATCTTCCTTGTCCTCGTCACTACTGCAAAATCTCGCAGAGAGGGACGACTCCCTTTAATTATTATAAACTACGTCCAGAACTTTATCCTTGGCAGCGAATAAACCTGCAAGCACTGCAACCATGTCTGCCCACGTATCCCTACCTAATTCGCTGAGTGATTCACAAGATGGGAAGAAAAGGTGTTGTGGGTTGTGGAAAAAGAAAAAGACGTCCTCGTTTCAGATGGAAGCCGGTGAAAGCTCCCTGGCATGGACTGAAAGGTCAACCCAGTATCAACATGGAGCTGATGGGATGCCGACTGACCTTGAAGACCTTCGGCAGACCATCCGAATAATCGCTGAGGAAGTTCACGAACAAAGTCAGGACTTGACTCATCTCCTACAGAAAACCCTTCTCAGCGGTCGGAATAAATCCCTGGCCTCGCAGAACAAAAGTATGCGCGCTGAAGACACAACCATGAAAGAGTTCGAGGAAGCCCATCAAGCTGTACCCGCACTCACCGACCCCGACCCTGAGGCCTCGAAAAAGTCAGTCCGCATGAGTCTGCCTGAGGCGTTGGAGGCTATCCAGAATACTGTGGAGAGCTTTGCTCGGGGCGGACAGGAAGATCACGCTGAGCTGACCTTCACACTCGGCCAGTTCCCGGCGGATCGTCAGACGGAGCCGAAAGCTCAACAGCTCAACAGCGAAATCAAATCGGCTCTTGGGGCAATTTCTTCTATGCCTATGTCCAGGGCTGCTGACTTAGATGGTACATCGGGCTTTGGATCTCAGAAAGCGGCTGTCACCAATCTGCCCTCGTCTAACGCAGTAAGTGAACTACACAAAGTCTGCAGCAATCTGCCCGAGGCTTTGGAGACGATGCGTGAAAGCATTGAACTTCTCGCCCAGGCAGTCCACAGGGACAACGCGGAGTTGACTCGGCTCATCCGAATGTCAATGAATTCCCCCGGCCAAGGTCGTGCTGATACTGGTCTGACCGTGGGATCCAATTTGACTTCGCCGCCTCCAGCTACAGGCGACTTGCATGAGATCCAACTCGGCCTCCGGGAATTGGACGAGGAAATCCACCGGCAAAACAGACAGATGAAGTCCATTCTCATGCAGGCGCTAGAAGTGCAACCGGAGATGATAGCTGCAGCGGAGGAGAGGGATGAGGTCCTACTGCCACGCGGTGGGTTCTTGAATGAAGGAGCAACGCTGCGAAAGGAAAACCGACCGTTCGCCAGTTCTTCCCAGTCGAAACGAAAGAAGGGTAGTCGAGCTGACGAATCCTCCCTCCTGGAGTTCAAAACTAGCGGCAAGGCCAGAGACGACTTTTTACTGGATGACATTGGCGGCGGCGGCGGCGCTGGAGCAGGTCCCCACTTCCAAATGGACAATACGGAGAGAACATCGATTGCCAGTCTGCCACCGCTCACTGTTCCAGAGGTAATGGAGCCTCTGAAGAACCTACGGGCCAGCGTGCGTCAACTGGAGGCTGACCTCAAGGCAGATAGACGGGGCGCCAATCTCTCCAGAACCATAGACGCCATCAAGGCCAGCGCTGAATCAATCCGCAGCGAAATGGAGACGATGCAGCCACCGCCGGTGCCATCAAAGAAAATCGCAACAACAGATCAACAAAACCTGCCAGCCTCCGATCCCCTAGTGCAAGCAGTCCTTGAAATGATCAAGCAGGTAGTCAAGGCGAGAAGAGCGGCAGCAAAGGAGGCGGACGGCGCAGAGGCCATGAAAGTGCTTGCCGAAATTCGCAAATGCATGCAGTCTAGCCAAAGTGGGTTCCCTGCCAGCACCAACAACGGGGTCCTCAGCAATTTGGGCGGCTACGAGGGCATCCGGCTGGTAGTGCAGATGGTGAAGGATGCGCGGGCTCAGGGCTTGTAATTGGGCGGGAGTCCCACCCGGGATCCGAAGAGGCGCCCCGGGCGAAAAAGCAATTTCGTCAAGCTACAGTCACCACTGCGGCCTTCACCGCCAGCTGTATCTTTAGAATTCTTTTTTCTTTCTCCTAACATTTCTTTGAACCTTTCCTTTTAATGCATTTATGCATCCAACTTTTGTGTTGCCTTACCGCCTAGGTTTTTGCAAAAATTAACACCAAAATATAGACACCTCCTTCTTCCACACGTCTGACATTGTTCTCCAGGGTCCTTCTGGGTGAAAATTTATCGTTGCGTCGTCGTTAAGTACTTGTATGTTAAGGTCAGTATATTTTAAGGGGAAGAGGCAATGCCTTTGAAAGTCCTATTTATAACTTTAAATAAATATGGTACCAAAATGTTGTCAGTAATATATACACTTAACATAATATTATAATTCGAAAATGCAGGACAGAAACTCGAGAACATTCAGTCGTAGATGATATCGGTAAAATGAAATGACAATCATCCGCATTGGCGGTAGGTGTATGTAAGGCGTTGTTTTGGTACAACAGAGCTGTTCTGCCCAGATAAGCGGTATTATTCTAGGTGAAACAAGGGGACCTAATGGGGTTAGATGGTAGTTGGTAGCCCTTCCGTTGCCGAAAACTCCCAGCTGCCTGTCTTACGGGACCGGTAGTAATAGGGGCTATACGGGTGGGGCAAATGAGTGGAGGCGTAAATGGCGCTGGTAGTGTATGCCTGGAATTGACGCTCCTGCTTAAGTGAAAGCCTAATTTAAATAAGGTGAAAAATGCAAGAAGGGTATGGAAATGAGCATGGTTAATTAGAACGGTTTGCGGAATAAATGCGGCCTTACACCAGATTGGAAAGAATAGCAAGTGAAGGTGAACAACCAATGGGAAGAAGGCAGTGTATGTTAAGGTCATTCCGCAGTATGTGCGATAGTACTCAAACCAACAGAATGGCCATGAGAACACGGGAATCAAGCAGCGGCACGCAGGACGGCATAACGCAAGCGGGGAAAGACTTTTATGCGAAAAATATGTTTGGGCGGAAGAGAAAATCCGCAACTAATAGTTTATGGCCACTGTGGCCACATTTAGAATTAAAACTATGGCAGTAGTTGTGTGCTATACGTGGGTGGAGTATCGGTAGACACCCTATCTGCGCGACGGTTGTCTTTTTCGTACACGATCACGGCGGACTCTGCAAGAGGTCTGGAGTAAAAAGACCAAAGGACGCAGGCAAACCGACAAAACGGAGACCCGCGCCAATCCGCCTAGGATGGTAATGAGAAGCATGAGGAATCATACTCCGACTAGGATAAATCTTTCGCCTTTTACTAAAGCTTTACGTGTGGGGGGTGCAATACGATGAATCTATATAGGCATTTTTGCAGCGTCTCGTTTTCGGAGCGGTTAAAGTGAACACGAAAGTCACCCTGACAGGGCTTCTGCGCGTGCACTCCCAGACATACTGAGAAAGTAATCACAGCTACTGAAATCGTACTGCCTTAAACTGGAAGTGGAGGAAAGGATCGTTAACTGGCAGGGCTACCAACTACCATCCCGCCCCTAATGGGTATACCCCTTTAAGGCTATTACCGTCATCTCCCCACCGAGTCCGTTGAAAGTATGGGAGATCATGCCTCAAAACTTCCAACTACTACTCCCCGTGTTTCAGTAACATTATTTTGTCTAATCAAACAACTCATCGGATGACAACATTGGCTCCAGTGCATCCGGGATGACGTTCAAGTGTTCACTTTCATACTACTTGACACATTTTAGTAGTGGACTGTGATACGCTCAAGATTTCTCCATATCAAACGATCACATGTTTCAACGGTAATAAAAATGCGATTCCCAGGTGGCGTTTCGAAAGAAAAGGCGTTCGTCGGTGGAGGTCTACCAGAGGTCTGACATATCGAGCGGTTATTTCGTCTACCCATCTTCAGAGAGTGGAAAGTTACGCGCACAGCTCTCATTATATGGTGCACTTTGTTTGATGCGTAGCCCGCAAGCGCTACTTGTGTGACTGCATCTGACCCGATTTCAATGTGTCCCATGTTGCCGCTGTCCTTGTTGAGCTTGTTGACCGCCTCAAAAACTTCACGTACGAGCAGCGCCTGACGGCCTTGAACCTCTATCCCCTCCACTATAGGCAGGACAGAGGTGACTTCATAGCAACTTTCCAGTTGGTAAAAGGACTTAATATGGATGTCGACTGGGAAACGCTTTTTGAAATGGCACCCAAATCCAAACTCAGACGACATGATTACCAGCTTAAAAGGGAACTGTGCCAAACAAATCAACGCTCCTCCTTTTTCTCACAGAGGGTCATTCGCCAATGGAACTCTTTGCGGGAGTTTGTTGTTAATTCCCCTACCTTGAACGTGTTCAAGAGACAACTGGATGCTTACCTGCCGAAAGGCAACCCGAACTGCCGAAGTCTGATCTAACGGATTATTGAAATGACTATAAATATACTACTAACAAGATTTCAACAGATCCTATTTTGTGCGTCAAACTTAGCCCACATTGAAATTTTCACAGTCCGAATGCGATGAACAAAGTGTTTCGAAATTATTTCGCGAATATAATAACCCCTTTGCCTTTATGTTACATTCTTAGATTTATGAATTCTCCTTACTAAACTACAAGCAAAAGCTTTGCAATTTAACTTTTCCCTTATATATGTACCCTCTTAATGGAGTTTTCAGGGCTTCTGTCGTTTACTCCAAATATACTGACTGATACTGACTGATAAGTGGCGGCTCCAACTCTACTGCGCCGTGACTGTCTCCACACAAGGAGGCTCCTAAAACCCACATAGGGGAAGGCAAATTAGTGTGGCGGTTGACAGAGCAGTCGGTGGACATCCAGGCTTCTTGCGCCTGCATTGCTGTATGATCCTCGGTCCACGATCTCGAAGGCGTCAAGGTTGAAGATGTGCGCCATTTGCGCAGCATGGGTGGCCACCTCCGGTTTTGGGCCCAAACTCCGCACGGCCAACTCATGCTCGTGCATTCGCGTCAGCAGCCGTCGGCCGATTTCCCCGACGTAGTTGCACTTGTCGCAGCTGCACTGAAGCCGGTAGATAACGGCCGACAGCTGCTTGGGGACAGGATTTTTGGCCGTATCATTTGCCGGCGGATTGTTGAGTCAGGTCTGCAGACAACTCCTACTCCGAGTGGTGCGAGGGATCTAGTCACGGTTTCGGGGACCCCTTCCACGTACGGAATGCTCCGCCACGCTTTTGGCTGACTCGGCTCTTCATTCCTCTGTGTTTGCTGCGTTCGGCTCCATTCAACAAATTTCCGCGGATAGCCGTTGGATCTGAAGAGTACTTGGAGAAGTTTCATATTGTCCAGTTTGGCGACTGGCGTGCTGCAATAAATCCCTATCCGCCGGTTTAGCGTGCATACACAGCTTCTTTTGTGTTGCAGAGGGTTGTTGCTGTTATAACCAGGTATTTGCAGCGTGTTCATCGTTTTTTTGGAGACTAGCACCGCAAATAGCATGCTTGGTTCACGCAATCCTTCAACAACCCTTCTTTCCAATGTCCTTGATATATCGGCATTTTTATTTTTCGACGTTATGGTAACCAATAGGAGTTCAAAGGCGTTCGCCCAAAGTCCCCTTTATAAGACCGAGCTGAACTGGCCGTCGCATCCGCAGTATATGTCGAATCTACGGCATCTGGACCATCACACAGTGTTGATTGAAATTCTCAAATGTGTCTTTGATTAGAAGGGATTACTTGGGTGGGATTGTAATACTGATTATCACTTAACATATTTTCAAGATATTTCAGTTGCGGTAGGGTGCCGGCTTTTTATTGCTCTCCTTTTTCGGCCGCCTGCAATACCCACATCTGAAAAATAATGACTATTTTAGAGTTGTGAAAATTCACATTGAAGAATTCAAAAGACAATTTGGCTACAGAATAACTTCTGCTTGCCCACATTTTCGTTTTAATCATTTTGGCAGTAACACTAATGTATAGGCCTGGTGATAATTTATCGAAAGCTACGTATGTTCGCTAAATTGTCTTTTGAAGTAATAACTACTTAAGAAGCGTGCATTTTTCACATTGATTTCCGATACCCTCATAAATTCAGATACATTTTATAAAAAAACGCACACATATGGTAGCAGATTGCATCTTCATAATGTCCTCTTGATGAAAAGGTATCTTCCAATTTTGCAGGAGTTTTTCATTTCCTGAAAAACTTTGAACCCGATCAGCAGCATACTGTATACTTGCCGTGCACGAAAAACAAGTTTTCTCTAAGCCACTAAGAATACCCAATACAAAATTTATCAAATTTTGCTACGAAGGTGGACCATGTTGTATACTTCGTAAGTAGCATTGATAAACGGTACAGATGTGATGATGCATGGATAGACGTCTTGCGGTCTTTAAAGACCTCATAAGAACGACCTTTTTGAATTGAAACATGCCCTTTATTCGAGCATAAAATTTTCGAGTGTTTTCTACAAAATATATTTGAACTTTAAATGACATCGGGAATCGATGAAGTTTACATTATTGTGTAAAAAGTGCATTCAGAAGCCGGCATCCCGGTGTGATTGAAGTATTTTCAAATCATACTCCGTGATAATCAATATCACAACTCCATCCAAGTAGTCCCTTTTAATCGAATACACACCTCAGACTTTCGGCCAACTCTTCATGAAATACGCCACATACTTTTTGTTTACATTCTATTTTCAACAAAGATCGTGATGCAGACTTCTTTTGGTCATTTTGGCGCACCGCCTTCACGTATAATGATCTGGATCTACAGTAGGTGGGTTAACTCATGAAATCTTAACCGAAATCCCGAAATGCGTTTTCGTTTCGAAAAGACTAAATAAGCAGCGGTGTAAAACTAACTATCATGCAGCATAATTCCATAATACTTCAGTTACCTCAGGATGCCGGCTTTCGAACGAATTTCCCTCCAGCTGCATGCAAAAACTATACTCCGTAAAA